GTAAAATTATTAAAAAAAAAACAGTACATCACACAGGACTTTAATAAACACTAAAATAATTAAGTAACATTTTTTTCAATGTGTTTCTTAATACAACTGCCTACTTTCTGGGCTGCCTGACCAGCTTCACCTTCTATCCAAAATAACAATGCCCTTTGTCATCCTTGCGACTATTGATACCACGGTTGTAAATTCATAATTGACGCTTATAATATACGATATTTGTTGGAATTCTTGGAAGGGGAAGGTTTTTTTTTAAATAAAAAAAAAGTTTGCATTTCTGATTAATCGTTGCACATCTTCATGTCTAGCTTTCTTCTAGATTATGCAATTTCAGCTTTTTCTAAGTGCACATTTCTTTCTTCCTTTAACTTGCTTAATTTTTTGTTATCTTTTAATTTATAATTCGAAACAATCACATCTACTACATTTATCTTTTTTCAACTTTTTTCTTTGAAGATTAAATCGTGTTTTTGTAAAACGAAAATTTAACAGAATCATTGTCTGCTTCTTCAATATACAATTCATACATTTTACTTAATGTTGTGTCTTCTGTTGGTGACTTATACTTAGGGAATTTCGTTATGTGCTCATTTACTTTTTCTACACGCGTACACGATTATCGTTAATTTTATTATGACCTCCACTTTGATAACGACAATCTGGAACACCTATTGGACGTTTCATAGCTTTCAATGCTGCATTGACTTTGCAACTTGATATTCTCAAGGTCTGTAAAAAAAAAGGTTTACACATTGTCATAGGGGATATTGTGTATACCCTTGTAGTATTTCTTTTGTTACTGGTTTTTGTTCTTTTACGCTTTATTAGGACTTTGGAAATCTTTAAACAAATTACAGCTCTCTAAGCATCATGAGATTCAACATTGTAAAACTTATCAAATTCTCTTTTGGAATTATCCAAACTAATCTTGTCGAAACACTTACACTTACAAAGATACATACGGAACTCTTTTGATTCTTTACATACATTTCTCTGTGTAAAGTAACTCTTGTTTTGAATACAACTTTCTTTTCTTGATTCGCAACTTTGATTTAAGTACTTCGTATTCTCCCTTTTTTTTAGTGTTCCCATGGGCGAATAAATTTTTATCACTTCACTATTTCATGCTATTTTCTTTTGTTTTATGTTCCTGCTGAGGAATAATGTTACTTCTTGTTTATCCTTTAGAAGTTGAAGGCATCTGCAGTGATTCTTCTTGTGCATCTTCTGTAGAAAAATTTAAGCAATAACTGCCACTACTTCTTAACCTAAACGCCTCAACAAATTATTGTCAACAACGTTAATGTACGTATGTTGCCAAATATTCTATTTAGCTCTATAGCTAAGAGCGAGAAGTATGTCAATAGCAACAAAGTACAAACTTTATAAAACAATAATACGCCCAGTGCTTACATACGGATCGGAAACATGGGCAATGACCATGTTTCGAGATGAAGAGTTACTACGAGTCTTTGAAAGTATTGAGGAACCATATATGGCGGAGTAAACGAACAGGGTCTGTGGAGAAGGCGATGTAACTTTGAACTCTATAGACTTTTTGGTGATGCAGATATTGTGAAGACCATCAAAATAAACCGCCTAAGGTGGGTGGGCCACGTTATGCGGATGGATGAGAGTGATCCCACTAAAATAACTAGGCTAAATAGGCCGGTCGGAAAAAGAAAAAGGGGGCGACCTAAACTCAGATATCTGGACTATGTACAGGAAGATCTGAGGGAGATTGGAGTGAGGTGCTGGAGAAGATAGACACACGATAGGGAAGTATGGAAGAATGTTTTGAAGTAGACCAAGGCTCGCGAAGGGCTGTAGCGTCAACTGATGATGAAATGCATGCAAGAGGCGCTGGGCCTACTGATGCAAAACTATTACACAAAATTTCCCACCAAAAAGCGCCATAATCCACAATTTGAGAAAATGGCGCTTGGTCTAGTGACGCATAACACCGTCCACTTATGCTTTACTGACAATATCGTGCATATTTGAGTCAGTCTCAAAGAACCCCAAGAGTTGTGAAGTATACCAAACTCTACATCAACTGAGGTAGGTTTAAAAATTAACATCAATAATACCTAGTAAATATGAAATGCTTAAGGCCGAAATTAGGTAAGTTTGAAATAAACAAAATAAAAGATGTAAATGGAATAGAAACAAACGTTAAAGATGACATCATAAATATAATCCACCATTTCTACTCAGAATTATATAAAACAAAAAATGAACCACCAGAAGAAATTAAAAACCAACTTAAGGTCAAAATAAAAAATGTCAACTCAGAGCTGCAGCCCGAAATAAGCAAATCAGAAATAAAGAAGGCATTGAAAGAAATGAAAAACAACAAATCGCCTGGAAAAGATGGAGTAACTACAGAGATGCTGAAATATGGTGGAAAAGTGGTAATTAATACTCTACATTCCCTTTTTAACAGGATATTAAAAGAAAAAAGAATCCCAAACAACTGGAAGGAATCAGTAACCATTATCCTACACAAGAAAGGGGATAAAGCAGATATAAAAAACTACCGTCCTATAACACTCCTCAATGTAATGCATAAACTCCTAACAAAAATTTTAACCAATAGATTGACGACAAAATTCGATGGATACCAGTCGAAAGAACAAGCTGGTTTTAGAAAGGGATTCAGCACAAGTGACCATTTACTAAGTATGAAAATACTTCTAGAACGAGCAAATGAATACCACAAATGAATATGGCGTTCATAGATTTCAAAAAGGCTTTCGACAGTATCGAACATTGGGCAGTGAAAAGTTCTTTGATTAACAGCCGAATTGACCACAGATATACGGAACTAATAACCAATATATATAAGGAAGCCAAAACAAAAATTAAAGTATATGAAGGAACAAAATCATTACAAATAAGTAGAGGCGTGAGACAGGGTGATACAATATCACCGAAACTTTTCAATCAGGCTCTTGAAGATACTTTTAAAAGATTAGAATGGGAAAAAAAGGTATAAAAATTTGTGGACAACGCTTGAACCATCTAAGGTACGCTGATGACATCGTATTGATAACCGATAAAAAAGATGAATTATTTGAAATGATGAAAGAACTGGACGTAGAAGCTGGAAAGATAGGCCTTAATATGAATTACAGCAAGACCAAAACTATAACAAATACAGATGAAGACATCACAATGAGAATCGGACAAGTTGAAATAGAACAAGTTAAGGATTATATATATCTTGGTCAAACTATAAAACTTAACAAAGAGAACCAAACAGCAGAGATCAAGAGACGAGTTAGACTGGCATGGGCGGCATTTGGCAAACTAAGCTACATTCTTAAAAACAAAAGATATCCACAGCATCTTAAGACCAAAGTATATAATCAATGCGTACTCCCTGTTCTTACGTATGGATCCCAAACGTGGACATTTACAAAAGCAAACATGGACAAAATCATAAAAACCCAAAGAGCAATGGAAAGACAAATGTTGCACATAAGACTAATGGATAAGAAGAGAAACGAGTGGATAAGAGAGAAAACAAAAGTGAGTGATGTTAGACAAGAAGTTGCTAAATTGAAATGGAGATTTGCCGGACACAATATAAGACAAAAAGAAGACCGATGGAACAAAATTCTTATAAGTTGGAGACCGTGGGAATATAAACGAAGCAGAAGAAGGCCCCAAATGAGATGGGCAGATGATATCAAGAAGCACGTGGGCTCTAGATGGATGACTGTTGCGACAGACAGAGAAGAATGGAAAAGGATTGGGGAGGCCTATGTCCAAAGATGGACCGAAGAAGGCTAATTAGATAGATTAGATAATACCTAGTATATGACAAACTTAGTCCCGAGCAGCAATATTTCCCTAAACAGGTAATATCTAGTATCCTATGGATATTTAGGCCACATTTATCAAAATACGAATAAAACTAACATGGACACGTTTCGATAGACTAAGAAGTATGATATTTAAAAAAATATAGGGATGTGTCTATACAGGGAGATTTTTGATAAGTGCGTGCTCACAATATTGACTTATGGAGCTGAAAGTTTAACACTTACTAAAAAAATCATTCCAGACATGCAAGAATATAAATTACAGATGCTGTAGAACTGTGTCAAACAAGAGGCCAGAATTAATTCACTAGCTACATTAAACACATAATAGAGTGCCGTTCTAGATTACAGGCATATAGAAGTAGAAAGATAAAGGAAGGCTTCAGACCCAGTGGACTACAGAATGTGGGATGTAAGATGTGATGTGATGTGCATATATTAGATTCCGATCTTGTTGAGTGGAGTAATAGTTATTTTTACACTAATAGGACATAGCTTGGTTGTAAATTGAACCATGTAAATGGTTATGTTTCAGAAGTATTTATGTATAAATTATGACTATTTTCTCTCTTTTAGGAGTAGAAGATTGCCTACATCTTAATATATACGTACCAGGTGTAGCGGATCCTAAAAAAAGTTACGATGTAAATTTCTTCATTCACGGAGGTGGATTAATGATAGGCTCTGGTCAAGTGGCAAGCGCTTCCTTTATGATGGATTATCAAAATGTTATTTTTATTTCGTTCAACTACAGATTAGGACCACTAGGTATTCTAATTCATATTAATACACTCAAATTTTTGTAGTACATGTTAAAATTTTGCGTTTTTAGGATTTTTATCGACAGAAGACAATGAAATACCAGGAAACAACGGCGTGAAGGACCAAGTAATGGCTCTTAAGTGGGTACAAAGCAATATACGCTCATTTGGTGGCAATCCGCAATCTATTACAATAACTGGATTCTCAGCAGGGGGATCAAGTGTTCATCTTCATTATTTATCACCTTGGTCGAAAGACCTCTTTAATAGAGGAATTTCTAATAGCGGTTCAGCTCTCAGTCCTTGGTTTCTAAAAGAACAACCTTTAATATTTTCCCAAAAACTAGCGGCAGATGTCGGCTGCCCCACATCACCCACATCTGCGTTAAAAGCTTGTCTGAAAGAGAAACCTGCTAATCTGATAATGAAACAAATCGAGAATTTTATGGAATACGCTCATTTGCCCTTTGCTCCTTTCGGTGTTGTGATTGACACATGGGCAGACAATCCTTTTTTGCCCGAACATCCTTACAGTTTGTTGACGCAAGGTAAAATATTGGATTTACCATGGATGGTTTCAGTTAATAGAGACGAGGGATTACTTCCCGGTGCATGTAAGTACGTTTTGTTAAATAATTAGATAAAGATTAAAAATTCTGCAAGAATAAAATAAAATACAAGATACTCAATAAGGAGACATTATTTGTTTATTTAATATAGAGCGTAATAAGTTGTGTCAATTTAAACTACTTCTTACAGTTTCTTATATTTTATACAGAAAAGTAATATACAAACTTTATTTTTGGGATAGTATATTTATACAGAGCACACAGTTTCTGGAAAATAGCCATTTTTTAATACTCAGTGGAGCACCTCCGTCAGAAAGAGCACGTGAACGAGTTGGTTGTCTCATCAATAGAAACTTGACTAGTAGCATTAAAGATTGGAAGATTGGGAATGTATTACCGAAAGGATCCTAAAAATTAGAATGACAACCAAAGAGAAGAAACCAGTTAACATCTTTGTTATATATGGACCAAACGATACCGAAAGAGCAAACACCAAGGACATTTTTTGGGAAAAGGCGACAGAGATAATAAATAGCGCAGAAGGTAACATAATAATAATTGGCGATCTCAATGGTAGAGTAGGCGTAAAAGACCAAGAATCCTCGGATGTACTAGGACAACATGGAGAACAAGTAAGAAACAATAATGGTCAACGAATTATAGACTTTTGTAGAGAGAATGACCTGATAATTACGAATTCGTTTTTTCAACATAAAGATGTGCACAAATATACCAGATAAGTCAATAGTAAAGGAGAAAAGTCCATTATTGATTATGTATTGGTAAACAGATCCTTAAGACAGTGTATCAAAGATGTCAAAGTCCGAAGGGGAGCAGAAATATATAGCGACCATTATCTGGTAGTATCCCGAACTAGTATCGGTGTGGAACAAAAACCCAAGGTACCAAGAAAAAGAGACAGAATCCCAAGAAACCTCACCAACGCAGTTATTAGGTCATACAAATTAGTCTACAAAACAATAGTCTACAAAAGCACTTAAACCAAAACTATGACTTAGAAGAAACTTGGCAAAAACTTAAAGAATCTCTCCTAGATGGGGGCAAGCAAATCTGGGGAATAGCTAAAATCAATAAAAACAGACAATATACGAATTGATGGAGTAATTAAATAACAGAAGAGGTCAAATCCAAGAAGTTAGCGTGGAAGAAATATCTAGGGAACCAGAATGCAGAAAGCTATCAAAAATATAAGCAACAGAGGGCAAAAGTAAAAGACATGGTGATTGAAGTAAAAAAGAAGAGCTGGGAGGATTTTGGGAACAAGCTGGAGAAAGACTACCACACTAACCAAAAACTATTTTACAAAACTCTGAGAAGCCTAAGAACAGAGAACAGACAACAAACACCAAAACAAATTAAAAACAAAGATGGCCATATCCTCTGCGATAACGAAAGTATTATGAACAGGTGGAGAGAATATTTCGAAGACCTTCTGACTCAAAAAGACTATAATAATGAAATAGACACTGAAGAAAACCCATCTAAAAACCCAAACCAAAACGAAATAACAATAGAAAAAATAAGAGAAATAATACTCAGCCTCAAAAGAGGGAAGGCAGCTGACTATGATAAGATAACTGCGGAAATGCTAAAAAATATGGGAGAAAATAGAAATGAAATACTTAGAAAAGTTTGCAATAAAGCATGGAATGAGAACAAGATCCCAAAAGACTGGTAAGTGGGCGTTATTCTACCCATTTTCAAAAAAGTTAACAGACGAGAATGCAGCAACTACAGAGGTATAACTCTCCTGAGTATCCCTTCTAAAATTTACGAACGAGTACTGGAGAAAACACTACAACAAGTAGTAGACCATAAGCTGCAGCAGTCACAGAGCGGTTTCAGGAAGGGAAGAAGTATCCATGACCATATTTTTACACTCAAGCATCTAATACAAAACGCAAGAAATAAAAGCACGGAACTATACCAAGCCTTCATAGACCCCCAAAAAGCATTTGATAGAACCCCGCAAACCGAAATAGAGAAAAGCCTAAGAAACAGAGAAGTAGACAGCAAACTCTGAAAAGCTATTATGAGCCTATACCAGAACACAAAAAACAGAGTAAGAACAGATAATATGGAATCAGAAGAGTTTAGAGTCAATAATGGCTTACGACAAGGAGGTGTACTAGGTTCCATTCTGTTTAATATTGTACTAGATGATGTAATGAACGAAACTAGAGAAGAAACATCGAGAATATTTGTTGGAAAAATCTGGAAATGATACAGATAGCGGAGTGCGCATTTGCAGATGACCTCGTCGTATTTGGAAGAAACGAGGACGCACATAAGAGAAACCTCCAAATATGGAGAGATAAACTTGAAAAACGTAATCTGAGAATTAATGAAAGTAAAACCAAGGTCTTGGTATGTGGGAAAACAGACCAACATACAAACATTAAAATTAATAACTATACTTTAGAACAAGTCGAAAGCTTCAAATACCTGGAAGTGCAACTAGAGAGTAGGGGTACACAAGAAGCAGAGATAAACAATCGAATGGCAAACGCTTCCCGGATATATCACACAATTAAGAGCACATTCCTATCGAAAAAAGAAGTATCCCAAAAAGCAAAGATAGCTATCTACAGCATAGTTTTTGTACCTATCTTAACATTTGGATGTGAAAGCTGGACGCTCACCACCAGACTAAAAAATAAATTGCAAAGTATTTTAATGAAGTATCTAAGAAGAATACTAGGGGTGACCAGAATAGAATGGACAGGATACCGAACGAAGAAATAAGAGAACGCCTTAAAGTCCAATCAATAGAGAAGAAAATTGAAGAAGCCGAACTGAGATGCTACGGCCACATGGTAAGGATGGATAAAAAAGCCAAGTGAAACAAGTGTGGGAAGCGAGAAGAACCTTGAAAAGACCGAGGGGCAAACCCATGAAGACCTGGGACGATGAAAGTTGCCGCCATCCTAGACAGGAGAGTCACCAAGGAGCAAGCGAAGAAATTGACAAGCAACAAGAAGAATTGGAGGAAGTTTGTATATGAAACCTAAAAAGAGACTTTACACCCAACACCTTAGGGTAGAAGGGTTATTGATTATATATATTTATATATATATATATATATATATATATATATATATATATATATATATATATATATATATATACATTTATACAAAAATATACAAATATAAAAACAACTTCAGTCTTTAGAGACGAATATGCTACTGAACTTTTTGAGAAAACATTTTGATGTTGACGATGTAGTGATTGCAATCCTCAAGTAGTGGAGTGCACCAAGAAAAAGAAGACAAGATATTTAGCTAAAAATAAGAAGGGAATAAATTCCTCACTGAAAGAAGTCATTCCAAAGACTATACTAGTAAATGATAAACAGAAACAGGCTGGAAGAACAACTTTAGTCAGATACGTAAGGAAATTTTTGAGAGATACTCAAGAATACGACAATACCCTGAATTCATTAGCACTGAAAGAATTTCCAGAGTTTAAAGCTATCTATGCATAATGACGGAACAATTAACAATAGTAATTAGTAAAATTATAAAACACAATAAAATACCGGAAGAACTAATTCTGCTATTCAAAAAAGAAGATAAAAAACAGGCAGAAAATTACAGAGGTATAGTACACTAAAACTTAAAACTAAAATTTTACAAGTGCTAATAAATCAGAGAATAAGTTTAGCAGATGAACAGGGTTTTCGTAGTGGAAGATCGTGTACAGATGTAATATTCATTATAAAGCAAATTACTGAGAAATCACTAGCAATTACTGAGAAATTAAGAAAGGAAGAGAATACAGAATGGGAAACAAAGAAATAAAAATACTCTTTTACGCAGACGACACAATATTGATAGCCTAAGATGAGGATAGTCTATAAAGATTGGTCCACAGATTTACCATAAGAGCAAAAGAATTTAATTTAATATTTCAATCTCAACTCAGAAAACTATAACAATAGTAGTCAGCAAAGAACCAACCAGATGTAAAATAGAAATTGATGGCATCAGTATTAAACAAATAATGAAAATAAAATACCTGGGAGTTACACTGTCTAGCTATAGACATATAGACAAAGAAGTTCAAGTACAAAAAGTAAACAGACTGGCAGGATGCCTTAATAACACTATATGGCGAAACAGACAGATTAACTCTGAGATGAAGTCAATAATTTAGAAAGCTAGTGTAAGATCAATAATGACATTTTGTAACCTCGGAAACCTTTTTTTTGGATGGTGCTAGAAAGGTAACCAATGGAGACACTGCGGACGGCAGCCAGATGGTTGGTAGAGAGCGAGTCGTGGGTTCGAAACTAGCTTTTGGAACCGAGAATGGGTCCAACGTATGAAATAAGTAAAGATAGGGTAAGTGATATTAGAAAAGATACAGAAATAAACAAAAGATAAATGGGTAAAATTATCAAAGATACGATAAGATAGAAACAGGGCGCCACTCAATTTTTTGGGGTTAAGGAGAAAATTAAGAAACCTTAGAAAAGAAAAGAGATAAGGAAAGATATTTAGGCTCAGAGATCAAACCCAAGGAAAGATATCAACAGTTAATTATCAAATAAATTTGGTCAACACATAATATAAACAAATAATAAATATAATACTTACTTACTTTAACTTACTTACTTTACCTTACTTACTTATAACTTACTTACCTACGAAACTTAATCAGCCTGATCTTTCTAATGGTCAAAGGTATAGTAATATTTAAAGGTAAAAAGCAAATACTCAGAGTTACTATTTTATCAGGGAACTTGTTAGGAGCCGACAAATAAAATACATACATAAAACAATAACAATATATTCAGCAACAAAATTATGACCCTGCTGAATGCAACACAAGTAATAAAAGTACACCAACAACTATGAAATGGTAGTATACATATAAAAATAAGCAGTAATATAATTAGAAAATACCTTTACAAAGATATATAATACAATCATGCACAAATAAAGTGTTATGGGCGTACCTCGAGATATTACAGTAAAAAAATTGAATAAAAGTTATAACCAACACAAAAGATAACAAAAATAAATCAATTCTAAACTTACAAAAATACAAAAAGGTTACAGAAATGAAAACATAAGAATTTAACCAAACCGCACTTGGTTAAGTGAATTAACTATCTCGCACTATTATTTAATGAGAAACGGAGACTTAAATGTTCATAATTATTACTTATTGAAATTTCTTGAATCTTTTGAAATGTTCTTTAAATATAATCCAAAAATCAGCAATTTACAGGTGAAGACATGGAGGAACTTTAGATACGTCCAGATCATGGCAGATAATATGATACCATACCATATTACTCGCCCAGATAATTTAAAGATAATGATTACTTAAAGTAAATCTTGACGACTGCGGCACTAGGTACTTCACTGAAGCTATATACTGTACTTAATACTTTACTTGTAACCAACACTGACTTTAATTGACATTAAAGGTACTTTTGAACTATATATAATTTAATATAGTATAAGAAAAGAAAACTCAAATATAAAGTGTATACACACTTAGAAAACAATTCACAGACGGTAAGATAACAGATAAGATGTGAGCGAAGTGTCTCACGAGAAATCAGCCTTTCTCCACAACGGCCCACCGAGAAGTAAGTTGGTTTTTCTAAAATTTTACAAACTGCCCAAGAAAAAAGAGGGGATATCTCCCACTTAGAAACCACAGGCCAGTTGTATGTAGTTCTGAGAAGGTAAAAATATTCTAATGGACATCGAAAAGTTTGAGGCATTTACGGTAGGTACTAGTATTTGGACGTGATCAAATATACAATCCTTTGGATTATGTTATTGTCAAAAGATTCGTATACGTGCCTTCGACGAAAATTACCAATTTATGAAAAAGAACGCGCATACCGAAAAGCATTAGTTCCTTTCATACTCAGGATTAAGACGGAAAGGATTAAAAACCTTTCTTAATTAGGGAAATTCCGGGTTATTTTGGTAGGTAAATTCTTCCGTCATAAACATTTCTAATCGTACACATGATCATCGGCGTATCATCCACATGGGTAAATGGAATTAAAAATAATTTAATATATTAATTATATAAAAAAATATATTACAATTTGCCTCAGAAACAAGACACTTGTTGTGTGACTAGCAGAGTCACAACGCAAAGGCTACCGGAAATAGCAGAGATGAGAGTACTGTGGAGAATTACAGAAAATACGCTGAGAAATCGAAAGAAAAGTGAAGGCGTTAGAAAATGTAACGTACAGTTTATAAATGAATGGGCACAAAATGGGAAAAAGAATAGAATTACTACATAAGAAGAATGGAGGAGACCCGTTTCGTCAAAATAGCAAGCGATAAGTCACCAATTAGCAGGAGAAGTATCGGACGACCGTGCAAAAGATGGAGTGACGACCTTCCATAGAGGTATTAACACGCCAATGAATAAGCAAAATTGCTTATAAAAAGGAAAAAGAAGATTAGAATTACATCATGATATTGCAGATGAATTACGCATTATTAATTTATTTTGTATTCAGTTCGTTCTAGTAAATTTCCCCGTGTTAATTGGTTCCATTTCTGGTTAATTTGTAGATTTTTGTACAAATCAAAAAGATATAAACAGAGATTTTGTCGAGAAAGCCCACTTATTGCTGGACTATAACTATACATATCCAGAAAAAGATAGAAAAATATTCGCCAAGAAGATCAGAGATTTCTATTTTGGACCAGAAAATGATATAACCGAAGAAAATTTTGATAAAATGACCCAGGTAAATAAAAGCACATTCTTTTTATAAAATAATTTATAAATATAATACATTACAATACAATTTTTACAAAATTTTCCCACTGATCTCGCACCGTCGGAACAGTCGTAAATCTTCTGCGACTCCCCTAGTAAATTCGATCAGAGGTGTAGCAAGGGTTAGCGTAAGATTGCCCCCTCTTCTCCCTCGAGACAGTTTCTTCTGGAACCTTATAAGGACTGGAACTGGATATTTGTATGGGTAATTAATCCCTATGACAATGGTGATATTGGTGATATTGGTGAGTTAGAAATTGCAACAGACAAGTACCTAGTTAGGTGTCTTTAAAAATTTCCTCCACTATATTTTGGATACCTCTTTAGTCTTATTGGTGGCATTCTAGCTTTAGTATGGTTTTCTCCGTACATCTTGGTAGGTGGATTGGTCTGGGAAGTGTCCTTTGTTATCAGATAGAAAAGGTAACGTAATGCATCTTAAGATTTCAAAGCTTTTCCTAAAGCTGGTAGTTGACATTGCAGTTCTGAAACTCGACCAAATTTCTTTCGAAAGATGTATTCCAATCCTCGTGCGTCTTTAATACTGGCCGTAATGGTATGGGTCAGTAAGTATTCATTTGTAAGTCTAAGTAGATCTTGTTTTTCTTTAGTGGTTATACCATGTTCTGCTTTACTGTTAATCCATATGCCCCCATTAATTCCTCAAATGTGAGTTCAGCGACTTCTTGGCTTTGTTTTACTTCGACTTTTTTATCTACGTCGTGATCTCTTTCGAATGGCGTTAGCTATCCATTTGCCTCTCATCTCATGGATTTGTCTATCATCGGTTTGCTTCTTGGAATCTTGCTTATTCGTTAGATAATATCGTTATAAACTAAATATCATTTTTGCCAAATACTTTCTAAATATCATATTTATTCGCTTTACCATTCTATCCGATGACGGGTAACAGACTGTAGTTCTTGCTTTATTGATACCCTGTCCATCGTAGATTCACTCAAATAGATAGCTTTTAAAGTCATTTCCTTAGTTATGATGAATTCTCTGAAGGATTTTCTTTACACCTCAATGCCCTGCTGATAAATTATTGTATAACTTATGAAGTACGTCAGCTATTCTGTTCTTTGGAATTAACAACTTGTTCTCTGTTCTCTGAACCATTATCATTTTTCAGTACTTGTTTAAGCTAGCCCTATTCCATCATAAACAAGTCCCATTGAGTTCAATACGTTGTAACTACTGAACATGCATTTGATGTTTCTTGCCAAACGGTCGACGAATTTCTTCTTTTCTTTTTGACTTCCAGTATATTACCGTTGTTCTTAGCATTGCTGGGTTCTTCTTCGAAATATTTCTAAAATAACGTGAAACTACTGTCGGATCAGCCGCGATCCTTCTGCGAATCGCCCAGTGAATTTTATTAGGGACGAGAGTAGCCTAACAATATAAACTTTATTTTTAATAAAAAATTCACTAGAAACCTAACAGTTTTGCATTTTTTTATTGATAAGATTAATGATGATCAATATTTTGTTTTAATTATAATAAAATTTCTTATTTGTTAGATGTTTGGCGACCGATTATTCATTTCTGGTGTCGAAATCGCCGCAAAGCTACAAGCCAAAGCTAATAAACAACCAGTTTATGTTTATTTCTTCAATTATGATCAAAGTGCCAATAAAATAGCCTCGTTGTTCTGTCCACAAAAGAATATTAGTGGTAAGTACGTTAACAAAATCTTAAGTAGCATTTTTAGAGCTTTTTTAGGAATTGTAGTCTGTAAATTTGCTTTTATTCACATATATATGAGGAATGTCAAATAACATCGGTGTTACAGCTATTGGAAACCAGAAACATTCGGATCGCCTCCTGGGTGAATCCCAGTGCTATTTTACTTTGCTGAGATCACAAACAGTTGGAAGCCCAGTCGATTTTAGACCGTAGTTTTAAAGAAGAGTTTTCTTAGTTCACGTCTTAAGGAGTCGTTTGGATATTTTTTTGTATCTTTTTGTCTATTTAAAATTTTATTAGTGCTATTTCCCATTATTGTTTCCTATTATTATTGCAGCCAGCTGACCACACTGGTCACACTGGCCACATTTCGTCTATACGATTAGCTTCCGACCAGCCGGTCGTTGCGACCAAAGTAAATATGGTTTTATGAAACCTCGCGCACGACGGACATGCAGAGTGCGGCCAGACAGTGATCTGTACGTGTATTGTATAGGTTGTGTGACACCACAACCCATCGATACAGAGTTGTAGTCAACTTCTCAAAAAAATGGAAAGATACTGTAATAAACTTTACTCCATTCTCAGAGCGTGTGATGTTAATACAATTGAAAGATAGGAAGAACATATTAAACATCATACTAGTAATGGGCAACTAGTAATGGGCAATCTGAACGCCAAGGTAGGCCAGGATAAAGTTGGAGAAAATGTCGGTGAATATGGCTTAGGTAATAGAAATGAAAGGGGTGACCGCTTAGTTCAGTTTTGTTAAAGCGAAGATTTAATACTAACTTATACATTTTTTAAATTACCCCCAAGACAATTGTATACGTAAACGTCACCTTAACACACTCAAGAAAAAGTAATCAGAAACCAACTAGATTACATAATGGTGACAAAACGATACCGTAATGCCGTGAAATCTACTAAAACTTATCCTGAAGCTAATATCGGTTCGGATCATAATCTAGTAGTATCTATGATAGAAGCTAGACCAAATTAATATCCAAATTATCATTGAATACAAAATTGTTGCAAAATTGTTACAAAAAGTTGCAGTTTAGCAAAATCTGGTACAGATTGAAGAGTCTTTCATCTGTGATAGGTCTATAAACAAACTCTGGTTGCATAATTTGTGAATGAACAAGCCATCTGAGACGAAATACCTCTGTGGTCAGATGTGTGAGTGAGATCCACAGGTTTTGTGGTACCATCAATATGTGCGAGAATATTATCAAGACATCTATTACCCAGAGTATTAAATTTAACTTTTTTTGTAAGATTGTAAGATTTGAAAAAATTACAGAGTTTTAAAGCTCTGATGTGTTTCATAAAAATGAACATTAAAGTCACTTGTAATTACAAAAGATTTATGAACATTAATTTTTTAAAGAGCTTTAGCCATAATGGTAAAGAATTTTAGGTAGAGAAATTACTATCTGGATTAAGATAGATAGTAATAAGCTGCACATTAGATTTATTTAATAAAATACCTGTAATCTCACAATGCTGCTCAGAAGAGAGATTTTCAAGATTCAAATGATTAAAACTTATGTTATTCCTAATATATATACCTACACCTCCATGAGATTTGACCGTCCTACAAAATCCAGAAACTATAGGATAGCCTTTAATATTGACAGTATGTAGCTCATCAGGTAAAAGCCAGTGCTCATTAAGACACAAACAATCAGCTCAAATCTGACTTTTATTATCTCTAATAACAGTCACGCCAGATGAAGAGGAATTTGAATGACTGCGTTTTGCGTCCACATCTGACATTTTCCTATTATTTTCAGCTACTTTTACATTAATTGACCTTAAGCTTGGTCCACAGGCGTAGGGATGTGGCGACCCCATCGCCCAAAATTGTTTTAACCTTTGCAGTCAGCCTAAGGTAGCAAGTAGATACTCTTCTACGACCCCGGTAGAAGACAGATCTGCTAAAGGAACGCAACCCTGCCTTAAGCATGCCTTGAATTTCTCCACAGTCCCCTACCAAGGAGAAGTCATATCCTAACCAAAAATTTCCATCAAATTCGCACATATCCATTACACATCCTAACCCACTACCAATACGCACTGGCCCGCGCAGTAGTGGAACGGCTAAACTCCCCTCCTCTATTCATGTATGCAAAATTCAGGGAACGAACGGCCCTCAGTGCACGGCGACTCCACTACCTCCGACCAAGGTAGCAAGGTATAACACAAACTACGCAGAATTTAGTCAACTCAGTAAAACAATAAACAAAGAAATCCGAAAATACATACGGCAACATAACATGAGAGAGGTGACAAGGGTGGTAGAGAAAAATACAAGTCTGAAAGTTCTAAGACACAACATGTCCACAGGAAAACAGAACATAGATAAGTTAAGAAATAAACAAGACGACATTGTGACTGATAACGAAGAAATAGTGAAAACAGTGGAAGACTTCTACAGACAACTCTATGAAACAAGTGAATCCGATAAAAGACGCCCTTTACCAAAGATAGAGAATCAAGGCTCAGAATTAATGCCGAACATAATTGTTGACAAAATTAAAAATGCGCTTCGGGTGATGAAGAACAATAAATCCCCAGGTGAAGACAAGGTACAGACCGAAAGCCTAAAACTAGGAGGAAATAAGCTCTTACTGACACTTGCTAAACTGTTCAATAAATGTCTTACTTCATAAGAAGGGAGATATCAGCTACCTAAGAAACTACCGCCCCATTAGCTTGTTGTCACAAGTATATAAGCTATTTACAAGAGTTATTACCAACAGGCTAGGAAGTAAGTTGGATTTCTATCAGCCAAGAGAGCAAGCAGGTTTTAGAGCAGGATATGGCACGAATGATCATTTACAAGTAATTAAGAACTTAATAGAAAAGAATGTTGAATATAACAAGCCATTAGTCATGATATTTGTTGACTACGAAAAAGCTTTCGATACAATAAGTCATCTTCTTTTTCTTCAAGTTCCACTCCTATCGGAGATTGGAAATCATTCTGGCAATTATAATTTTATTGGTTACTCGATTGAATAGTTCAATTGAACTGCATCCAAACCATTCACGGAGATTGCGTAGCCACGAGATTTTACGTCTTCCTACGCTTCTTCTAACTTTGATTTTACCCTGCATTATATTCCTTAGTAGTTCGTACTTTTCACCTCTCATTATGTGCCCCAAGTATTCCAATTTTCTGATTTTTATGGAGTTTAAAACTTTGAATTGATTTCCTAGTTGTTCTAGAACTTGTTCGTTTGGTTTGCGATCCATCCATGATATTTTCAAAATACGTCGGTAACACCACATTTCGAATGCTTCTAGGTTTATAATGTTGGATTTTTTAAGTGTCCAAGCTTCAACTTCATACAAAAGGGTAGTGAAAATATAACATCGAAGCATTCTTATCCGCAGCGATATATTGATATCGCAATTACAAAAAAGTTTTCTCATTCTATTAAAAGTTAACCGCGCAATTTCAATGCGGCATCTTATTTCTTTTGTCTGATCAGTATCAGTGTCTAATAAGTCATCAAAAGATGTTAAAAGCCTTAACAGAGTGCCGTATAGATCATCGCTATATAAACATGATATACATCTATCAAAATGGGACAGCAAGCGTGAAACTGGCAGATAAAAAGACCAACGTATTTAAAATAAAACGGGGAATGCGACAGGGAGACACAATTTTGCCAAAATTGTTTACAACATTATTAGAGCATATGTTTAAGAACGCAAATCTGAGTGAAAAAGGAATTAATGTCAATGGAGAAATGCTTAGTCATTTGCGGTTTGCTGACGATATTGTCGTTTTTGCTGACAGAATCGATGATGCAGTATCGCAACTGGAGAAACTATACCTAGCCTTCCTACAAGTTGGATTAAAAATCAACCACACAAAAACACAAATCATGACAAATCTTATGTTAAGCGAAAAGATTTCAGTAAATGACATGCATATTGAAGAAACCACCTCTTATAAGTACTTAGAACATGAGATACGCATAGGAAGAGATAATCAAACGTGCGAACTAAGCCGCCGCATAGGATTTACTTGGGTGGCATTCGGCAAGCTGAGCTATGTTCTTAAATCAGAACTGCCTATGTGTCTTAAAAGAAAAGTCTTTAATCAGTGCGTGTTGCCAGTACTTACATATGGTGCAGAGACATTAACACTAACCAAGAAAGTAAGAAATAAAATTTGTGTTACCCAAAGAGCCAGGGAAGGATCGATGTTAGGCATTTCTCGTAGGGATCGGATCACAAACAAGGAAATAAGACGGAGAACAGGAGTGATAGATGCCATAGAAATAATTATGACCCTTAAGTGGAACTGGGCGGGGCACATAGCTAGAATGTCGGATAACAGATGGACACAGCGGATAATACAGTGGAGACCGAGACAAGAAGCACATCGAAGTATAGGTCGACCACCAACAAGTGGATGATGACATAAATCGGGTCGACAAAAATTGGACGCAAACAGCACAAAACAGAAATACATGGAAAAGACTGAGGGAGACCTATATCCAGCAGTGGATATATCAGAGTTAAATGATGAAGCTTGGTTCGAGGTGGCTTAAATTGCCAACAGAAGTCTCGCTCGGCAGATGAGAGAGAGAGAAAACTGGTTGTTTATGTTTTTTACTCCATTATTTTTTAATAATTTAATTTTTTTCTTGGAGTTAAACCTTTAAATTTGAATCACAACAGATCATGCCTTGATCGACAATTTTTACATTTTTCATTCTTTTAGCACATCTGGGGTAAGCTAATAAGAAACAATTCACACATTCAGTTGAGCCCATTACACAGTGAATGCATAAGCAACTTAACACGTCCACCTCAGTCGACGTCATTTACAAAAGAAGGATTAGGGTACTTCTACGAAATTCAAATAGAAATTAAACGGATAAAAATAATCGTTGAATAAATAAATATTTATTGACTATTTTGTGAGAGTTTTGAACAACACGTTTTAATTACTGATTTAGATTAGGTATTAAACAACATCGATTACATAACACATCCCTGTCTAACGCTACGCTTAATAGGAATTTTTGCTGAAACCTCCTGATCCACCTTAATGCAGATAGCCTGATTTGTAGGCCTATTGCAGATTTTTGAGCAATCTGATGTCGTCGTCCACCAAAGGCTTTCTCGAAATATTAAAACAATCTATTTTTTGTAGAACTATGTAAAAGCTACAAATATTGATCCCAACCAGTAATCTAGTAATGAGCCATTCTGTATATGGTTTTAAAGAAATAGATGATAATCGTAAAACTCTCATTATTTAGTAGTTGTAATACATTTGTAGGATTTAAATAATATGTTTATATATGATTTTATGAATATGGCATAATACCGCATGACTGGCTAACACCCACATAGGTAGCTCTTCCTAAAAAACAAAAAGCAAGGAAATGTGATGTAAAAAAAATTTGTGTTAATAATTTATAACTAAATTCACAATAAGTGTGAAGAATGCCTGAGTAGTTGTCAATATAGTTTTAGAAAGGGTACAGGCACTAGAGAAGTAATTATGGGATTGGCACTGATGGTAGAAAGGTATTTTGAGGTTCAAAAACGACTGTATGTGTGCTTTGTCGATTATAGAAATCCCTTCGACCGCATCAAACACGGAAAATTGATTGAGGTCCTAAAAAAACTAGGGTTGGACTGACACGACATAGCTATCATAAGTAATACATACTGGAGCCACAAAGGATATCTTCAAACACAGAACGAAAACACCAAGTACATCAACGTAGAACGAGGAGTGCGTCAAAAGTGCATTTTGTCCTTCCTATTATTTAATATATATGCCGAACATATAATTAGAGCTTCTCGTGAAGATCGCCCTGAAGGTGCCAGAGTCAATGAAATTATCATTAACAATATAAGATATGCCGATGACTCCGTAGTATTAGCAGAAACAGAAGACCAACTAAAAATTATTGATGAACATATTACCAGAAAAAAGTCACAGACTGGACTTGGACATTAACTTTTCCAAAACCAAAGTTCTGGTATTCCACAAAACCCCCATGAACCATGAAGTTACACCTAACATACAAATAAATGGTATCACCCTTCAGAGTTCCCAAAGCTTTATATACCTGGGAAGAGAGCTAAATAGACAACTAGACCACTCAAAAGAAATTAGAAGACGCATTGAAATAGCAAGATCTGGTTTCATGAATATACCTAAAATTCTCTGTAACCCCAAACTATCAGTCCAGATTGAAAACACTAAAGTGTTATGTGTGTTCTCTATTACTATATGGCTGCTCAAAATTAGAAAGACGTTATATCTAGAACACATAATGCGCCATAGGGAATTTGAGCAGCTCCAGGTAATATTAGAAGGCAAGATTGAAGGTAAAAGGGGCATAAGATGAAAGAAAAAATCTTGGCTACGAAACATCAGAGATTGGACCCACTCAAGAGGAAATTAATAAATTCATCAAGCTCAGAACAGAGAAAAATTTGCCATATAGATCGCTAACCTCAACAGAGAAGGCACTTAGTAGGAGGAGGATACGATTAAGCCACAATAAATTTATTGGTTGTAATGAAAATCACATTTTTAACTAACTAAAGTTTGACGTTTCGATTTCTTCCAAATTAGGAATTATTTCATTTTATTACTGATCACCTAAAAGCCTAGTCTTCTCTAAATATATTTGAATATACTCTGGTACCACAGACGACTTCTACGGCCTGTAAATTTTAAGCGATTCTTTCGATATGCCAATATTTTCTGTTGATTTTTGTTTACAATGATGTGGTCATTTCATTTCTATTTTCTTTGAGCTTTTTCTTAATATTAATTAGATAATTTGTATAATAACAGCTTATATTTCTTTATCATCAAGAGCTTGTCTCCGCTATTCTACTTACAATTCTCTGGAAATAAAAAATTTTCCCCGCGCAAGCGACCCAACCCCTACAGATTGTACAAAAAACAAAGGAAAAATTTGTAAAACTTCTCATTGATATGCAATTTATATTATTTCAATTATCAAATAAAATGTACTTTAAATTTAAGGAATTGATATTTTTTTAATTCTATTTGAAATAATTTTTAAATTTAAGGTATTGGCCATTGTGAGGATACTGTGTTTGCTTATGGAAGCTTCGTACTTCAGGAATTAAACGAAAGTGATAAACATATGAAGAAAATATTTAATAATTTCATGAATTCGTTTATTAGTAACGGGTAAGTAAAATGGTAGTAGTAAACAAACTTTGAAATCTTTTAAAATTCCCTATCAATGTCAACAAACGATATCCCTATTTCGTCAGCCATCTTTCAAAACAAGTACTGCTATCTATAGTTGTGTTAGAACGCGAATAATATAACTCTTGTTATGAGAAAATAAACCAGTTGTTTCTAATATTCTCCTTATAATCTCATCATATTTTTTCACCTATTAAACCTTTTTAGGACTTCAAATAATTATTTCATAACCAAACTAAATTTTTTTTGTATATAGCAAAGTTTTCCGAAGGATACCCAAGCCAACCGTATCCTTCTCTTTATTTCTCCGGTATGATTTTCTTTATTTAATTTAACTAGTTGTCCCAAATATACATACTCTTTTACCTGTTCTATAGTTGTTTGAGCAATTGTTATTATTAGTTCTTCTTGTTGGTTGGTCATAATTTTCGTTTTATTATAATTCATTTGTAGACCTATTGTTGTTGATTCGCTATTTAATTCATCCATCATATTTTGAAATTTTTCCCATTTATCTTTTATTAATACAATGTCGTCTACATATCTCAAGTGATTCAAGTATTGGCCATTTATGTTAATAACCCGTTTTTCCCATTGTAATTTTCTTATAACGTCTTCCAAAGCTTGATTAAATAGTTTGGGTGATATAGTGTAACCCTGTTTGACTTCTCGCCTTATCTTAATAGGCTCCATTTGTTCAACTATTTAATGGATGTTGTTGCTTGATCATATGTATTGGAAATTAAGTCCGTATATCTGTAGTCTATTCTCCCATGTTGTAAAATATTGTCCCATGTTTCCTACTACCCAATGTTCTACCTTATCGAATGCTTTTTTAAAGTCTACAAATGTCATATACATCGGGATTTAATATTCGTTGGCCTTTTCAATTAATATTTTTATCGACCACCGCAGATGGTCGCTTGTACTGAATCCTTTTTTAAAGCGACTTATTCTCTTGACTGGTTAGCTGTTAATCTGTTTGTTAGTAGTTTAGTTAACAGTTTGTACATTACATTAAGTAACGTTATGGGCATATAGTTTTTCAGATCTTTTCTATTGCTTTTCTTAAATAGTAATAGTGTTATTGCCTCGTTCCATGTGGTGGGTATTTATTGTGTGTACAATATTTTATTCGCTAGTACATAAAGGACTTCCAGTGTAGTTTCCCCCCATTTTTTAGCATTTAAACAGTTATTTCATTTTTCCCAGGAGATTTGTTATTCTTCATTTCTTTGAGTGCCTTTTTTATTTCATTTTAATTGATTTCTGGTTGTAGGTCAGACTTAACGTTCTTTAGTTTGAGTTGTAACTGATTACCGATTTCTTCGGTTAGTTTTTGTTCTGTTTTATAGAGATTTGTATAATATTCGTGCGTTATCTGTAAAATTTCTTTTATATTGTCGGTATATGATATAAAAGTATATATTAAAATAATCTTATATTTTTTAAAATGCTTTTTTTGTTCCAGGAAACCTTTTGTCGCTGACAACTTAGAATGGTTACCAACCAAAGGAAAAAATCTGTCGTTTCTGAATATTACGAACTTTGACAATATTAAAATGGATATAGCAGCTTCTTTGTATCCCACAGCTGTCTGGTCTGAATTAATTAAATCTGAGTTTCAGGATTAAAACTTCCAAAAAAAAAGAAGATAAAAGAAGAAAGTACAAATTAATTTAGTCAAATTTTGTAATAAACGTAGTTGTAGTTAAAGATTAGTAAAATGTTCTCAAAAATAATAATATAAAGTAAATAGTATGCTATTCATAGTCTTTTTTACCAAAAGCAATGACAAAAGTCGTCGCCGACAAATATTTTCTGCTAACCCCCTCTTAGCAACAGTATATTTTGCAAAAGCAGCAATTTTGTGCTGAAGATTTGTCTGTAATTCATGTCACAAATTGGGAAAAACATTTTCAGGCACAATAGGGTGCTCATATAATATGAAAGTTACAAATCTCCAGAGTTTGCTAGGTGGCATTCATTTCCTTTCAAGATTGGCAACAGTACTAGTAACAGCACATACACCACCATTTAATGAGTCAATTGTAGTGTGACTGTCTGGTTATTGCCGATTGGGGATAAAGTAGATGTATGTATTATGTATTAGTGTAAATAACTATACCTATATATGTAATATATAGTTATTTATATGTGTGTGGGCGTTCTTGTATATGTGAGCGTATCCCATCTTAAACTAATCTAAAATTATGTTATGTTTACTGTGAACTATATCGTGTTTCCAATATTTATTTGTATATAATCTATTTACAACAGTTTAAAATACTATATACTCATAGCACGTGCCTTATTGAAGATTAGAACGTTCTTATCAAGTCTATTCTGCTGAGTGAAAGCAAACTCAGACCTACGCGATAGTTCCTGGAGTAGTATATAATAGTTGTAAGAATTTATTTTTGTGTATTCTTCCTTTCATTTTCATTCGATAATTTTTAAGTTCTTCGGCTAGATGAGTCATGGATCCTACCTTTAAAGAGAAATTGCACGTTGTAGGTACACAATTTCTGTTTTTTTTTGTTTTTTTTTGCTGAACCCGATCGACCTCTGAAGTAGAATGATGTTTAATACAAACTCCACATAAAACCAGTTTTTAGGTGTTAAAAAAATAACAAAATTATTACAGTTTTACTTACAAAGTGAATCTAAGTGATTTTTTTCACCACAAGTATAAGATCTGTGAGTACAAATTTTTATTTAATCTAAATAATTAACATTTAAGTTAAATCCACGTAAACAAGATTTAATTTTTGGTTATAAAGCAACAACTTTTTACTGCTACCGTTTATCAGTTCTGATATCGAGGGGACAGGACCGGACTAGGTTTTTGAAAGCTATCGATGGTAATAAAAAAAAATGGATAATTTTCCGCCTCACAAGCAATTTTCCTGCGCTAAAAAACTCAAAATTGGAGGACTATCTGTTTGCAGATGGTGATTTAATGGATCCAAAAAATATTTTATTTTCCTCTAGAATGTCAAATGGTGGAATTTGCGTTTATCTAACAAGCGAAACAAGCGAATTTTCTACAAATTAACAAAGGGATAATAAATTTAAACCATCAAAAAATTCAGGCTTGTAAATTAATGTCACCAAATGAAAGATTATTGATATCAAATGTTTGTCCTTTAATTCCACATTCAATTATTGAAAATTTACTTTCTAATTTGGGATTAACTTTGGTAACAAGAAATTTTTAAAATCAAATCCTAATTACAAACACATTTTCAGTTTCAAAAGGCATATTTTTATTTCTCCCCCAGTCTCATCAATACCCGACTTAATAATTGTGAATTACGAAATGACATCATATCGTATATTTATTGTAATGGAGAAGGATCTATGTACTAATTGCAGGCAAGCGGAATATTCGGCTGAAAATTTCCCAACTACTAAGGAAACTCAAACATCTCAAACACAAAATGCTGATCTAACTACTTCAACTGATCCAATAGACAATGAATACATTCCCCTAACGCAAAACATATCTTTCTCGGCTCCTACACTATCGACTAAACTGGATATCCATATTTTACCATCTACTTATATTACAGAAAGCACTATTTTTCAACAAATGACTCACGATCCTCCTTCAAACAAACGAAATCGCTCTGAAACTATAACCTCTCCACCAAATGATACTCCAGTAAATAACCCCTTTCCAGACCCTAAATTAAAAACGCCAAAGTCTTCAATCACAGGCATAGGAACCATCAAAATAACTGACGATATAAAAAATTCAGCAAGACGAATATATGAAGATACTTCAGTAAACCATTTAATATCTTATGAAACTTTAGTAGATATACTTATAAAAACTTGTACAAATGATTTAAAAAAACATATTGAAACTTTTAAATCAACTACATGAAAATTTAGCAAATATGAAATCAAAAAATAGATGCACTAGACTTCGAAACAAAATTTATACAATCAGAAACTAACACCGAATCCAATAATGAAATTGTAAAAGATATATTATAATGGCTTTCTTAATTATTCAGTGGAACCTACGAGGGTATTACGCTCGCCTTAAGATATTACAACAAATGATTAAAAAACTTACTTCATCCATATTTTGTTTACAGGCAACTCATTTTAAATATACTAAAGTTCATAATTTTTTTTTTTTATGGCATTGACATTAGTCATTCAGCCAGTTGCAATAGATTCTCCAATTAGACAAATGCACAATTCTATCCCTAATCGAAAACTAACGGATAATTAATAGAAGAATATACGACAAGGAAGCTTACAGGGTCACTTGCTTCTCGTCTAGGGGCCCATCAAGACATTTTTAGTAGACAAACAAAACTGGACCACGGATAAGGTGTTATAACATTTAGGGTAAACAAAGGATACAAATCTAAATTTCCACACGATCATGAAGAATTTCATGCTCGAGTACAAATTCTATAGAACCATGCATGTGTCTGACAAGAAATCTATAATGATATTATATATATTTTGTGAGCCTGTCGCCAGTAGCGACTGAATATTGAATGGTGCATACATATTAAATTCGATTAATTTTTTGTAGAGAGAGTTTGAAAAAATTTCATAATTTAGAACACTTCACATGCACATATAAAAATAGAGAAAATGTAGACCATTCTAGTGGTGGCATAGCAATTTATACTCATTCATACATCGATGTAAAATTTTTTTAAATCAATACACAACTTGAAGCGGTTGCCATTGCTATCAAAGGGCCTTTAAAAATGAACATAGGTAATATATACATTCCACCTACACAAAACCCAAACAATAATAAAATCTCAGATTCGATTAAACAAATACCTTCACCTCGTCTAATAGTTGGAGATTTTAATGCACATAATTACACACGGGAATCAAAAAAAATTACTCCATTAGGTCGTAGAATGGAAATAATGTTGGACAATTTTCAGTTAAATCTACTAAACGATGAAAGAAATACTTATTTTGACATTTATACTGATAAATCCTCTGCCATAGACCTTTCAATATGTGATCCAACATTATCAGCTACCTTATCTTGGATCCTTTCTGATTTAAATGATAGTGACCGGTTTTCAATTGTAATAACAAATCCTGACAGTATACAATACTCTTGTACCTAATGTTTAAAAATGAAATATCAAAAATTCAAATTGGCAAGAGTATAATAATCTAGTTTCAAATGAAATGAATGCATTACAGAAAATTTTACAATCAAATAATAATATTGATAGTCAAAATCAAAAGTTTTCCAATGTATTATTAAATGCCGCAAACAAAGCCGTTGGTAAAATGAATTCCAAACATTTAAATTCGTCAGTCCCTGGTGAAATTCTGAATGTCAAGAAGCTATTAAACTTTCAATAACAGCAATAAATCGATTCAAGAAATATAACACACTTATAAATAAATCAGAATTCAAACGACTTAAAGCACGAGCTAGATTCATCTAAAAGAAGTAAATGTGAATCATGGGAAAAGTTTGTTTCAGAATTAAATTCATCTACACCAATTAATAAAGTGTGGCAAATGTTAACTTCTTAGAAGAAAAACAAAAAATATACACTTCCCCTCTAGGCATAGCCGATATTCTAGCTAAAGATTCTCAAGCGATAATGTTCTTCCTCCAGATTTTTTAACCAAAAAAGAAAGAGGTGGTATCCAATCCAGTGGTATTGATATACCGCCTGATGACCTTTCTCCTTTAACTTATCCCATAATCATGGATAATTTGAAAACTCACTCAATAATACGAAAAACTCTCCCGATGCTGATAAAATCCCTGCAATATTTCTTAAAAACTTCATCTCCAAAGAAACACTTGCTGAATATCTCTAATTAGAATATATGAAGACATGGCAAGTTTCCAAAAATCTGGAGTTCATCTATCGTTATCCCTATTTATAAACAAAATCAACCCAAATCAACCTATTCTAACTTGTGTAATGTGTAAAGTTCTTGAGAAACTCATATCCAAGAGATTAATGTGGTTTTTAAAAAATAATAAATTACTTGCCCGGGAACAAAGCGAATTCCGGAAAAATCGTTCAACACTGGATAACCTTATTAGCTTAGAGTCTGAGATTCAGACATGTAGACAAAAATGTATTGCAGTCGTTTGGGAATAAAAGGGAATATAGCACAATTCATAAAAAAATTTCCTATTTCATCGAACATTTAATGTACGAATTAACGGTACTTTATCTAATACAAAAATTCAAAAAAACGAAATTCCCCAAGGATCTAATTTAAGCGTCTGCCTATTTCTTATTGTAATAACTAATATTATCTCCACTTGTGACCTACCAGTAAAAGCTGGACTCTTTGCAGATGACTTAATCATTTTTGTTAAGGGGATAAATGATAAAACCCTTCAAACCCACCTACAGAAAGTGCTATGGAATCTCGAATTATGGACAAATTCCACAGGTCTTCAATTATCAACAACAAAATCAAAGGCTATTTTATTAAAAAAAAAGAAAATATATCACTCCAGAACTAACACTATTCAATAAGAAAATAAAATATATTAAGAAAATTAAATGTCTACGCATGAGATTTAACAACAAATTATCCTGGAACCACCACATTCATGATCTAAAAAGTACGTGTCAATCTGCACTTAACATTATAA